ATTATATATCATACAGTTCTTGATTGTAGAGCAGTCTATTGTTACAAGCGGATGCCTTTTTTACTTTCACAGCAGAAGTCACATTTTTACTCGACTATTCGATAAGAATAAGTAGAATTATCCTAGTCACCTGAGCGTCGGCGTGTACCACCTCAAATATATTCAAAGTCCTTTGACATATGGCATTGGAACTTTGTACACTTGTTCCCGATCATGCACCCATTTGTTAAAATTTGCCTATGAATTCAAGATATTTTCGTATTCCATTGACATCTGGCTTTGAAATAAGTTGAAATTTTATACATTTCTTTGCGAGCATACTAGGACTCTCTCCAATGCTTATATCTGTAGAATGGGTTTGAAAAAAGTAATTTTGTCCTTTCGTTCACTTAGAACATTTTAAATTAGCAAGGCTCTTTTATTGTAAAGCACTAAGCATGAAGTTGAGCATGCTGTTCTACCAACATCTCTTGTTTGCATACCTTATGAAATATTACTCCTTCAAACTTTTGTTAAGTTAATATTATGCTTACAAAACCACCAAGTCATGGTTGAGACCATATATATATATAAATATATAAATATATATGTATATATCATGAAAAGCATTACAATATAATGGATTGTAGTGTATAAACGAAAATCAGTGTATTTTAACTATATTTATTCCAATGATCATACAAATTTCTGTAAATAATTGGAACCAAATATTTCTAAAATAAGACCACGCTAACATTCAAAATCTGATGATGACATAAGAGGGTAACACTATATGCCCTTGATATTTTAGGGTGGGGATTATTAATTTTGATGGTTAAGGTTAACCAAAATTTCATAACATATATACTTTTTTACTCAAGTGATTTTTTTCAAAGAGCTACAACATGTGAAATTGCTGTCAAATATACATAGGTAACAACTATTTCAAAGCTGCATGCCTCCATTCAATGTACTAGTATTTCAAAAAGTTCCAACTTGATAAAATATAAAAAATAAGGAAAGTAAAAGGTTCGAGTCATTCATGATTGATTATGCAATATCGATTACCATCTCTACTGTGTGACTGACATACTAGTAAGGACTATTTTTGCCTCTCTATCTAAATTCTGTGGATTGCAAGTCTCTTACAATGTGTAAGTTATTTTCTTTGTTCCCTCCACATTATTTTACTATTAAATACATTTTCTAAATTTCTATGAAAATTAGCATGAACCTTGAGGCGTCCTAAATAGTGTACAATACAGACATACTAATGTACTAATGTATCTATATATCAACTGCAATGAAACACAACTTTACTGATTCAAACCACACTGGGGTTTCTTTTTTCTTTAAACATTATATCACTCTGTTTAGTTTTAGACAGAAAAGATTTTAATTATATATTTGATATAGGTATTTCATGACTTTAAATTCCTAATTCAATAAATACATTAATATTGTATGAAATATTTCAAGATCTAGTAAAATCAAAAATATAAAAATTTAAAATAAAAGTACTTGACAAGATCAACTAACATCTAAAATAAAAAAAAACAACTTAGAAAACAGAATTAATTATTTGAAAAATTAACACTGAGCTGTAATATTTAAAATTGGTGTTCAAACATATTGAAAATATTGATAAGTCATCTCATGTTCTTGGTGATAAAGAAGTGCCTCAATATTGTTATCACCGCAATCTATCTTCCATCATAAAATATGATAAACAAGATCAACAAGGAAAGGCGGAGTTCAATGAACCATAAATCTTACTATTACTGTATCTGTCAAACAAGCATCTCTAGATCTGTTTTCTGAAATATAGTTTTGAAAAAGTCTATTGCTGACTGAGATATTCCCTACATGTTAGTTAAGCCTTTTCAGCATTTTTCAATTCGAATTGCTCTGATTTATATAGCTATATAACTGAAAAATGCATGACCTATGCCAGAGCTCAGTCAACGAGCATCTGAGTAGAATCACCGCCTTTTTAAGCTAGCTGGATTGCTTTCTCACATTAAAGAATCCATATTTGATATAATAAAACATATTTAACATTGATAATTGCTACACAGTCTCTGTGTAAACCTAAAATAAGCATGTTTTGTGTTTACATAAAGTAGCAATTTAATGTTAAAACACAACACTGTAGGTGGTCACAATATAATTCACAATGCTGAAGAACAAGAATATGATGTGTTCATTATGAAGAAGTATTATGTATTACACTTATTTTTTCATATTTTTTCCATTAAAAAGCCCAGGTAGAATTCATTCCCTATGCGTGATTGGCTAGTCGGTGTTATCAAGTGATATTACCGAGGTAGGTGTATAGCTTATTTATCTCACCTAATTAGGATATGCCTTTAATTGTAGTGCAGTGAGTGAGACGCTGGCCTACAATTTTGGCGATGCAGGTTCGAACCCGGTATCCGACACATAATTTTACATTACATTTATGATATCAAAGCGTAACTAACCATTCTATTGGATAATTGTCCTGAGATTCGTTACAGAAAAAAACTTTGTTTGGTGCCAATCTGTGGCACAGTCCCTTTAATACTTCCTCAAGTTTTTCTTGGCAAAATTTAATACATTCTTCAAAACCAAAATGCAGCAATTCTCAAGACATGATAACATTAGAAATTGACCTTAACTTCTCGGCTAGTTGGAAATTGGATTGGATCCACTATTTTTTTTAATTCTTCCTATGTACATACTGTTAAATGACAGTTATAGTTAATTATAGTTAATAGGTTAACTAGTTACATAAATACTTAACTAGTTAACCTCTTAATTAACTAGTTAAGTATTTATTAACTAAGGGGAGCGGTGTCCTAGTGGTCAAGGTGTCTGCCTCTCAACCCAGAGATCATGGGTTCGAGCCCTACTCGGGTCACGACCATGGTTCTTCATATGACACCAGTACTGGTTGGTTCCAGGAAGCGGACTCGAAAGTGATTAATATAAGTTGCAAGAACTTGTTTCACAATCGAGCTAAAATAAATATGTTTAAACCAATTAACTAGTTAATTATCAGGTTAACTAGTTACGCAAATACCTAACTAGATAACCTGATAATTAATAATTTACCTCTAGGGAATCATTGTATACACACCGGTCTATCAAATGACCGGTGTACACAATGCTAGGAAATTAGTCTGAATTACACCTAATTAATTAAGAGCATAACACTATTACGTGATATTTCTATTTTTCTATTATTATTTTACCGTTTAAGGTGGAAAAACTTGCATGATGTGTTTGAAAATTATCAATGTTTCTTTAATATCTATCTGAAATTTTACAAACAATAAATTGTTTATAGTGAAAATCCACAGAATTATAACATTCGTTTGTGGCATTTGCCATAATAGATAGAGATATTTTCTGCGTAAACCTGTGTGTTTACTTTATTTTAATTTTTTTATTATGTTTTTGCACGGAATTATTGATACAATGGTATTTGATCATTTTCTTAACCAGAAATATTGTTTTACTAGTATTTTCGACCCAGACCAAAGACCTTCTTCTATTGATCGATTATTGTCAACTATATTCCACATACAAACGTTATTTTTTCTATTTTCCCCCAAACAATGTTTAAAATAGTTAAATGAAATATCTTTAAATCATTATAAATGTTCCCCGCAGGAAACCATTTTACTTGTATTAAACATGGTAAAAGACCATAAACGTCAACATGGTCAGTATTTTTGTAAAAAAAAGACACAAAACCTAAGAGGAGAACCAATAACACTGACTGAAAAAACTGTAGTGAGATGAAGACGTTTACAAAAACTTGAGATATATACGTACATACATGTTTAATATTTACTGCGACAACTATCGAAACCTCACTTGAAGTTTATATTGAGGAAAAAGAATAAATGAGCTTTGTTTAGCCATAAAAAATTAAAATTTACTATGTAAGTCAAAATGATACTTAACATCACATAAACGAGACATGTCTTACAGGGAATTACCAATACCAGAGGCAGTATTTGGTAAGACTAAAACAAAGCAGCATAAATTTATAACTTTATCTATACACAAGTCAAGGTGTTCTAATTTAGTAACATGTAGTAAAAATATGGTGGGGGGTACGGAAAAACATTTTTATGATCCCCTTAGAGCTGATGTAGACTAATTATAAATAATAGTTTAACACTCTGCAACGAATAATTATTAACGACCAATCATTATTTGCAGTATGCGGACTAGTTTCCAGCTGAAGAAGGCGGTGCTTTTAATCTTACAAATAATTCTATTTAATATAAAACACGTTTCCATGTATATTATCTGCAACACAAGGAAAGCTTGTCTGAAGAAAAAAAAGAAACATCAAGCCGGTGCTAGGGGACGTGAGGGATGTTGCACTTATTCATTATCCCTTATGTACAGACTCAATCAAACCGAGGCTTCAATTCTTATGTTTTTTTGTTGTGATTAATGCTTCCGAGGGATCACTTTGTTTCCAGAATTGGTAAATTAGGCATTGAACAAAATAATGCAGTACCAAAGAATTCTTAATTTCACTTTAGCAAGATAATGGAACTAATTGACATACCTGCCAGAGTAAAACGCCATAAATGGGTTGTTTTCCTTCAACATACATAAATCTTCATCAGCCGGACAAACACTTCATGGATATTATATTTCTCTTGTTTTTTTTTTGGCATTTAAATACTTTTAATGTTCACTATGAGATTGAGAACGGTTCAAAGCGATACTCGAGAAAGTGAGATGTTGCCCTTCGAAAATACATTTCTCATGCCACTGAGGGGTCATCTAATTGAATAAAAAGAAACAAATCTGTGCAGAACATTAAGTCCCAACTATTTTCGTGATATCTATTTGAATCATTATGTTGACATATTGTCCTAAACACATCAATTTTGAGCGCAATGATCACCTCAAAGTACATACATTTAACATTTATTTATCATTCTGCAATATTTTCATCTCCATGCATTTTATTTTGATATTTAATCTTTTTAATATATATTTTTGTTTTGTTTCATTTCCAGGTAATGACGGTCTTTTTGGCTGTCACACTCTTGATGGTTGTCGATGTAACTGATTGGCACATAGAAATAGGGTGGCATTGTAATCGCCATGAAAACAGTTCTAAACATTTGTGTGAAAACTGTGTCTGGGGCAGCCGTTTTAAAACATATCAAGTATTATATAACGGTGGTCGGGAGCTACAATTGGAAAAGCTTGCAAACATTACAGTCCTTAATGAAAATCAATGTAAACATAAAAAGTTTCTTGTATATAAATGTGATTCTTCAAGTCTGTGTGGAGGTTTTGCGGATCGACAGAAAGGCATAATTTCAACATTTCTTTTGGCTCTTTTGACAAATCGTAAGTTCATTATCGACATGACAAGTCCCTGCAACTTGGAGGAGTTTTTAGAACCAAACGTCTACAATTGGAATCTGTGTAAAGCCTATTTAAAAACCATGCCAAACAAAAATATCAGTAAATTAAATTATGTTGAAAACTATAAGTTCATTAAAGGAATAAATCAGTTTGACTTTGACAGAAACTGGACAAAAGGTGCAGTAGTTCTAAAATTTAACGGCTACGCAATTGATAAGATAAGACAACATAAAGAAACTAAATCAAGATTGGAATGGCTTTTGAATATAACAAACGAAGAGGCTATCCATTTAGTGCTAAATACATTATTTAAACCAGGTGAAAGATTGTTTAATGATGCCATTAATTTTTATAATAATCATATTAACGGAAGAAAGTTAATATGTTCTCATATAAGAAAAGGTAAAAACCCAACACTTCCTACAGATAATAGGCTTCGTTTTGGATCACCAAATGAAACAGTGATATTTGAATATTTGAAAAAACTTGACAAGAATTCGAAAAATGCAATATATATTGCCGCTGATTCAGAGGAAGTGAAACAAAGTGCTAAAGGCAACCTAACTTCATACATCAACATCAATCGAACTATTGTTCATATCGACAGATTAGCACAATTTAAAAAACAAAAATCAGAAGCCTGTGATGGATTTTATACAGCAGTTTTTGAGCAGTTTATTTTATCTTTATGTGATAAACTGATCTTGACACGGAGTGGATTTGGCACAATAGCAGCTTATATCAGAGGAGTTTCCGATGAACTTTTCTTGTATCATCCAAAACTGAAAATAATTGTGGAAACAAACCTTACAAACATACAAAAAGTTTTTAAATTTAAATTTCTTTAACGTCGTTCACCAAAATAAGCAGTGTAATGGCTACATTTGAGCTATTTCAATACCCCGAAAAATGTATGTAACTAAATAAGAAATTAAATTTTCGTATCATTCTGTAGAAGGAATATACATGTATACTCAATAAGGACACCGCACAAAATTTGAAACTGTCTGCTAGGGTATTGTTGTTTTTATAAAATGGATCTGCAATCAGATATGCTTTTTCGTTCATATACAGGCTGTAGACATCCATGTTTAAAAAAGCAACATCAATAAGACAAACTTTCAAATAAAAATGCTATTTCAAGCAACAATGATTAAGAAATTCGCAACCACGGGTATACTGTGCGGATAAAATTTGAAATAGATCAGTTTGATGTTATCTCCTTGTTAAACACATATACTGATAAAAGTTCTAAACCTTGTTAACAAATGCATTTACTGTCAACAAAAATAATAAAAAATGCGTCAATAACAGAAATGTGTATTCTAAATATCACGAGGATGTAATGTTATGAAAAGTGTCTACCATTGACCATTAATGTCGAAATTGTGTCCAAAATGTAATGCTGTATACCAAATATCAGGAGGCTGTGATAAGTAGTTGCTGAAAAAACTGTTACGAAAATTGCCTACAATTGACAATGAATGTTGTAAAGTTAACTATGCAGGTAAATAGGAAGTAGATAAGCGACATATCTGAATCGAATACCACGGTATGGGACCACATTTAAATGCTGTACACATATACCAAATATGAAGAGGCTATGATAAGTAGTTTTACGAAAATTTCATACCATTCACCATTAATGTTGAAAATTTAACTAAGTCGGTAAACTGGGATAAAAGTGGATGAGCGACCGACCTGAAATCAAACACCAAGGTATGGGACCATGTGTTAATGCTGTGTACCAAAGAACAAGAGGCTTTGATGAGTAGTTGCTGAAAAATATTATGAAAATATTTTTCCCGCCCGCCCGCCGCCCGACATTTACCATACTTTAATCCGGGTTTGCACCTGTGCCAAAAAGGAAGCTGAACTGAAGGACGCCTGATCGGTGGTCCTGCTCGACTGTGTTCTATCATGGACCCATGTTGGTCAGACCATACCCTCAAACGTGAAACGCCCCTGTAAATACTGTATAACGAAGGAGGATATCTGTTGCAACGATAAAACTGATTTTCAAATAAGTTTCACATTAATATTACTATCAATTCTAAAATATGTAAACACAAAATCCTCAAACCAATAAAACCTAGACTCTTCAAGACTATTGTTTATGTTAACAAATAAATAAACGGCTAATTTAATAAAGGAAATTTAGTATACGAATTATTTCTTTTTTATTTATGTATTTATTGTATGTATTATATTATTTATTATAGTTTACATGGATATAAACAAATTAATGCTTCTTGCGAATATTTTCTTGTGATCATAACGCGACTGCAAAATACCAGTAAAGACTGCTTCACCAGTAAAGCTGGAACGTCGCCAAATGACCTACATGTATACTGTGTCCGTGTGACATAAAACCCAAACAAACAAACAAACAAACAAACAAACAAACAAACAAGCAAACATGTTGAAAAATACATTGTGGTCTTGATTTTTTATTTGGCTTGGTTCAGTGCGAAATGCATTGTCCCTTGATTCCAAAAGAAGAGATTTCCAGTTGTCTCATTTTAGTCTCGTATATGGGTAAGATCTCTTAGTTACCTCCCTTGTGAGGTTTTTAAAGTATGTTATATATTTTATGTGAATCAAATGTTATAATATACATTGTATTTCCTCTAATACATTAATTCTTTTAATGTTACACACAACTTTATCTCAGAACCGCATTAGAAACACGGGATTTATTGCTCTACCACATTCGATAATCTATTTGGTAAGTTAGCGACAATATTTCTGAAATAGTTTTAATGATTATATATAACATTGATATAGATATATACATGTAACATTATATAGAAATATACAATGCTCATCTCGCCCTGTTTGATCAATTACATCATTATGCCTTAGAAATCCATAGTTTTTAATTGCTTATAAATGTCAAACATATGTTTAATAATGCTTTAATAAGGGAGTAGCTGTAGCATGTAAGATATTTACAACTAAAGAAAGTAGCACTGAAGTCTCATAATGGCAGCTAAATGTAAAAGTAGTACTTTGACTTCCATATCAAATACTACAAATGTAATTGTCTATAATTATACCGATTGCCAACAAAGCAAAGAAAATTAAAGATAGTTCAATATGTGACAATTGAGTGTTTTGTTTTGAAACTGTAACAAGATATCAAAAGTTTTTTGATAAAAAAAATGGCATTTCTAAGGCGTATCGGGCCTTTAAGGCGTCTGCCAAAATATCAACTTGTTTTCTTCTTTTCTCCTTTCAGCATATTTTATTTGAACCTACGGTAATTTCCAGTCTTTTCATATGATATACATTACATGATTTCTTTTTGATCTATACATTTAAGCTGTTGGCCCTTTCATATGTGGTTTTTCTTTTTATATTCAAACATTATAGATTTTAGAGCACATTGTGTGCACATGCTGCACCCTGTTCATACACATTTCTCAATTTTGACGAATAAAATATTAAGATACAACAGGTTATATAAATAAATGCACATATGGCATATGAAGTGTGTTTTATCGGAAGGACTATGGAAACACAAAATAAGCATTGTTTGTAATACACTTTAAGTAATTTATGACATGCAACCAGATGTTCAAGGAGTTTGTTATTTTACAAGTTATTTTATAGCTGTTACATGTATTAAAATTGTGTTTATACATCCTCAACCAGACCTGTAAGGCAGACAGAAGATGAGTTATATAAATTATTTAGAATTTAAAGAACTGAGTCTGTCGTTAACAACAGCAACGATCTATGTCATGATATTAGGAAATGGTAAACAAAATAAAAATAAACGTGATAATTATTATGATGAATACTGTATACCAATCATCTGATTATTAAGACTGTTAATAAATAGAGAATCTAAATGCCATTACTGAAATCAAAATGAAATCTCTATGCCCCTTGAAACAGCTGCCTAAAAGTTCATGGAAATAATGTATACACACAATCATATTAATTTCACGCAAATATTAATCCCTTATTTTAATTACTTTATTACTGACTATCATAGCTAAACTTAACATTTCTCCTGTGCTATTTTGTTTTTACATTGAGAGTTTCAAATATATTTGTCTTTAATGCCCGGTCACATATTCACGGATAACGCTACGGAAGAGCTTAATCCTTCACAGATTACTACGGAAAAGTGAAATTCGTAGTCCGCACAACAGTATGAGTATAGAGTACGACGGATTTACCGCCAAAATGTAGGTAAAAGACCCAGGAGAGGCACGGATTGTTACTGACAGACATGGTTTGACACGGAGCGACACGAATCAGGACGGACGCACTACGGATACACTACGGTCTGCTACGGTATAAGCACAGGTTAGTACGAGTAAGTACGGTCTGATACGGAGAAAAACGAATTGCCACGGATCAATACGGCCCTATTTATCCCTCTACAACCTCTTGCATGCTCATTTTCAAAATGCTTCACGAGAAAAGAACATTTCGAAAACGAATTGCAGAGTTCAATTATCCTTGCGGTGAGGATTTGGTCTCATCGCGTCGACGCCGGATCCTCAGCAACAAGTTCGGCGGCCATGAGAGCCTCATACTGGGCATGAAGGGGTCTTCGTTAAAGCCAATCTCTAGTCCACCGTCTCTTCTCAGGGCTCTGTCTTCTCTTACCTTATTAAATATATAATCATTAATGAAAAATGATGATCAATACTGGCTCTCTATTGATTTTAAAATTGGCTGTTCATTTTATATTTACATTAATCAGAAGGTCGAACGTATAGCGGTGTGATACTCCTTAAAGCGAGGTGAAATCATGCGATACGGACTAATGGCGGATTTATTCATGTTAACACACGTCAGAGTGAGTGTAGTTTATTACTTATTTCATAAATCTTCGATTACAATTGCATATTTTGTATTGAAGATGTGAAGATAGGACCGACACACATTTCATCAAAATAACAGAGGCTTAAATAAAACATAATTTAAAAATTATTGAAGGTAAACTGACGGCAACTGATTTTGTGTCGGTGAATAAGCAAGCTTATATAAATATAGTTAATTTCTTTTTCTTCTTTATTCTATAAGGGTAATCATAATTGAGTTGCACAGGAATTACCTTTGTGCTCCGATATGCATAGACGCTTACTGGTCAAAATATTTGAGTGTACGCTGGGTTTTGGGCGATAAAATAACTGTACGCTGTTAAAAGTTCGATATTTCTTTCATTTTCACATCTGTTGTACAAGTTTCATAACTCTAGCACCAATTTTCCAAGATTTTATTTCTTTTACTTGAAAAATGTTATTTATTACTTGAATTCTTTAGGTTGAAAGGTATCTACCTCAAACTTCAAATACATATTCCTTATCATCAACCAGATCTTATATGACAAGGTTCTTAACTCTTGAAGCAATTTTAGATTTATCTCCCTTTGAACTTAGATTTGAAAAAAAAATTATAACTTCTTTATTTTTTAAGGTATTTCCTTAAAACTTCAAATATATAGTTCTTATCATTACACACATGCTGTGTGACAAGTTCTATAACTCTAGTGTGACTATCTCCAGAATTATTTCCCTTTGAACTTGGAATTTATGTTAAAAACTACAACATCTTGTCATACGAAGAAATAGAATTATATCAAAATTGATTTTTCTTTCATAGTTTTGTTTTCCTTACTGCGTCCAGTATTTAATAAGTCGAGCTTCGCTGTCTCATGTGACAGTCTTGTTTTCAAAAGTTAATTATTGGCCGTATAGATGAACTATCTTTTTCTGTTTGGCAGTTAGTATTATCACAGCAGCTTGACATTCTATCAATAAGTAATAGAAAGATCATCAAAACATGAGACTATCTGATTTGTACGAGGGGGTGTAGCCACCCGAGTATTAATCAGATTGCCGATTGTTTTGATATTCTTTCTTTTTTGTATTACGAGGGTTGTTCAAAAAGTAATAGGACTGCAGCTCTACTGTTCACATTTTTAAATTTACGTACAAAATTTTACATGAAACAAATATCGGAA